CTCTGAGAAAAATGCTCAGTTGAACGTCTTTTTTATTTTTATGCCTTGCTAAATCTAGCTTGGCACTTATACCACATAATACAATACTTAAGTATTTCAACGTTTCCAGTGATGGTATTTAGCTGTACACGTCTTATTTATCAACTGTGACGGGGTATAGTCAAATCGGGTGACCACTTATTATGATGCTGTTATATATGTTGCCGTAAAGTATCCTAGAACAAAAAAGAATAACTATGTGCTTGGTCGGTCTTTAACCCTAACAGTCCTCAATCCTCACAGGTGAAGAATTGAGGACTGTTAGGATTAAATTAATAAACATCCAGGCAGGAGAATAGACGCCAATGTTTCAAGCCGGTGTCTATCACCATTGGAACATCCTTCTCTGTTTGTATCAGACACTCAAAGTGCTAAACAAACAGCAGGTCCTCTCACCAGCAGTCGTAAGCATATTTCCTTTAATGGATATTTGGCGCGCATGACACGTACTACATGAACACTCAATCTGACTACTCGCTACTACTTATAAGTGAGGCCTGTGCAGCAAAATAACCATGCTCTAACTGTAATGCTAATATATTATCGTATGAAGCAATACAGTAGGCAAACGTATAAGTGAGGCTTGTTTGAGCCCTCTGCTTGCAAATACTGGTGACGCTGACTGGCGTCACTAATAAGTTTGCCTACAATTGCATCATATAAAAATGTATTAGCATCACAGCTTTTGCAGACCATTTTGCTGCACAGGCCTCACTTATAACTAACGGTGGGTAGTTGGTCCGGGTGTCATTATAAATCATTGCAAGGCAAGGCACATAAACAAATATTCGTTCCATTTTTAAGTAACTGATTTGAGTCAGACAGTCAAACAAGTTTTAAAAACAATTATTTCAATATATTTTCTCCAATTTTACTTTTCCCACCCCTTTGCGGTATACGTTTATAGGGTACGTGCCTCTCCGTGCCGATGCTCTATCAATCGTTAGGTTCTTGATCAATATTAATTGCTCTACTATTTAATCAAAAGTTTGAAAAACTCAGGTTATATTCATTTATGATGCTGCCATCCAAAGAAGATGCAGGAAGAAAACATTTTGGGATATTGAAGCCCTCGGGAGCGGTGTTAATCAAACAAGAAACATGTTACTGTACACTTAAAACGTGTACAGAAGCTACTGTTTATAGCCATTGAATTCGATCGCTTAGTTTAATACAAAGCGTCCGTCACACTCTTAAATTACTTATTAATCACTGGTTTGTGATTTAAACGAAACAAGTATTTCGAACAGTTTGTAACTGCAAATGCGCTTTGCTGTGTGTATCGCATCTGCTAACGGTATGACGCAATCGGATAAAGTTCAAACACATTAAGGTCAGTTAACGGCTCTGAAGTAACTAGATTGTCATCTTGCATTCCAAACCTACAGCCAAAGGAGTTCGCTTAACCCATCAAATGACAGCGTTTGGATGTCTCGTATGTCATTGTTGGTGAGAAACCTGCAAAACAAAACAAAACAATAATTAGGTTTGAAGAAACAAACTCCTGGGGAAAGCTGTAGATATTACAGACAGTTGTTTTTTTACCATGTTGTAGGCCAGAATGTGCACTCAATAAGTGCATTCATGGCATAATGTTTGTTTTACTGTCCTTTTGCTCGTTTCTTGGATGCCAATAATCATATACAGATCCGGCGTAATTTTGCATTTTTATAAAATTATGACACACCATTGGCAGATCCAGCGTTTACAAAGGGGGGTGGGGTCATTTTGCGGTTTTCAAGGGGAATGGGCTGCGTCTGGCGTATTAAAAAAATCTTCAATGTAATTGAATAATCAGTAGAAGGCCAAAGAAGAAATTTTAAAAAAGTAATTAAGAAGTATCTCTCAATCCACAGAACAGAAGAATCGATAAAAGGGTGGAGGGGATGTCTCGGCTGCGCTGAATTTGGTGCTGCCTGTTCAAAATCCTGTTCTAGACTGTACCTCAAGAGTTAGGGAGCCAGTTCTAGACCGTACCCGTGAGACCGTGTCTTGAGTTTTCAAGAACCTGGTCCCTTCGAAAGTTTATCTGCTTCTGTTTGCATAAGCCCTTACAACATGTGGAAGAATATTTGCAACACACAAGCATAACAAGCATTGGCTTTTTCTGCTTAGTGAAGTTGTGCCTCTCAAACAAGCCGTGTACGTTCAAATAACTCTTCCGACTTACAGCGACTGAAGCCTTAGGAATCGTTTCATATGACCTTGGTCCAACTTCTTGACAGAGCCTCCAGTAAGTTCTCTGAAACGAATAATAAAACTTGCAGTCAGAGGTATAATTTTAAACTCGAAGGTATGTCGTCGTACAATACAAGACACGATACTCACTGATAAGAGAGCGCCAACTAATTATGATATTCCCGGTTAGAAGGACAAATGGGAGCTGTTTGTCACATTGATTACATTACACATGCAACAAATTTTGGCCTATTCTAACAGTAGTATTGCGATCATGTCACAGATGCACTTACAGCACATTCGTAATAGCTGCCATGTTATCAATTGTATCCGCTGTCCATCCCGATTGACATCTGACATAGAGGGCGTCCTTTTTATAGTAGCACATGCACTCTCTTGGACAACGGTTCACATCTAAAATGGACAAGGCGCTAATTAGCTTCAGTTAGCTTGAGTGTTCGGTGCACTTACGAATTTTGTTTTTTTCCAGCATTATTATACAAATCGATGTAGGCTCTTGACTGATAGCAGGGAAGGTGTTCGACATTGCTCGAAAAGGTTGGTCATATATTAAAAAGAAAACTTGACATGTTGCAACATTTCTGGTTAGAGCCTTCACAACACATAGGGTCTAAGCATTGCATGGATTAAATGATTTGAAAATGAAGACCTACAGGGTTGCGGTGCAACATCTCAAAGTAATTGATAGGGCGCTTCTATTTTTCTGTGTGCTAACTGAGCGGGATAGACATTTTTTTATTAAGGTAATTGATCGGGCTCTTCTATTTTTCTGTGTACACATGCTAACTGAGCGTGATAGACATTTTTATTAACAAAACCTGGAGAGCTAGCACGGAACATTTCCAAGCTTTAATTTCATACCACAATTCCTTTCATCTTCGCCGAGCAGGCAGTGCTTGGTGCCATCACAGACTTCCAACCACAGAATACATTGTTTGCTTCCTCGGCACTGGAAAAACCCAGGACAGCTAATATTGTCTGGACAGAAAACGTTTAACAAAAACAAAGATAATAAATATTAATTAAATTATAAAACATTTGTTCATGTCTGTTCTGGGGGAAACCCTTCCTTCCAGCTGGTAGCAGTAATCGGGTTGTAATTTTCCGGAACGTTTCATACATTTTCGGAAAGAAGCAATCAAACAAATTTAAGAAAAGTTATGAAGAAAACAGTTCAGGCCACACCATATTACAGACCTCGTACAAT